ATTGGTGCTGATCGCTGATCGGTGCACAGCAATTTTTCGTGGTGTGACTGTGAGGGGGAGGGAGGGGATGTAATATACACAAACTAGCAAACGGTAGCCTACTGATATTCATTAGTCAAGTAGAGTGGTGGATCGAAGGGCCCTAGAGCGGGGGCTCCTCGAGACTGAGTCAACCTGGATACGTTGGCGCAGTTATCTAGGACGGGAACGGGATGACGGTACGGAAACGGGTTAATGAGCGGTACGGGTACAGGTGTGGATGCGGGTGTAGAGCTCGAGATGGGGGGTCAGGACCAAGGCGCTCTCTGTGTGCGCGTGTGTGGCCTCTACCGTCAATAAGTAAAAGTGATGTTTCCGACTGGCAACCCCTGAGGTTGTTATCGGCTCTACACACATGGGTGCACTTTACACGGGTTGTGTGGGCTCGCTCCGGATGGCGCAGCGAGAGTCGAACCTCATGCACCTGGAGCGGTGGCAAACTCCGGCCTTCGCATGCATGAGTTGCCATCTGTTCACGATGATTCCTCACGCCATACAGCACAAGTCCATGGCTTCCGGACTACCGAATTTTATTTTGTACAACCTACCCATGAACTCTACCTCTCCCGTCCTCCTCGTCGCTAATGCCCCAAATATCTACATACGAAAGTAGTTCCGAAGAAATCAACACTCGCGCCAAAACTACAAGCAGTACCGACACGACATGATAGCATTCACCACATTCAGATTCTTCCTACAACACTGCCCCCGCCAAAATCTCAGACCCGCCTTCGCGAGAAATAGGTTGATGAGGAAATACAACGGGGAGCGGATGCGCAGACCCTACTCCGTAACCCTAACCCTATCCCAACGTTCCCGATTGTATGCTTTATCCATCATGCTCACCAATCACAAAACATTGCTAACCACCACACGGCTGCTGAAATGTCACAAACCACGTCTCCCACTTCCTTCCAAAAAACTATTCGTCCCCGGCCAGGGTCACCACTAGCCGGAGCCCCCCCCGGAGGAAGAAGACGACGACGACGAAAAGTACCCTATGACGTACGCCGGCGCCTTGCCCACGAAACCCACTCCGTAGTCGGCCCCTTCAGGGAACTCTCCGGGGGTACCGCAGGTCACCCCGTTGAACGACCACCCTTCCGGAAAGTTGGCTGCAAGTCCGTTTTTTGATAGAGGGGGGTGGGGTAGCAGTGATGCAAGAAACAGCATGTAACACGTGACGTGATAAGCTCATCATCGTAGGGTCTCGAGCCAACCGCCTTGGAAACTACAAACGCGCATGACAAAACAAATAGAAAAAAAAGTCAAAATGGACAGCAAGACAGAGAGTGGGCTGGTCACCTTCGAAGAAAGCCTGAGGGTTGTCGCTGCCCCATTTCCAGTGGCCCATCAGGGGACTGGCGTTGTTCTGGGCCCCCTCCACGGACTCCGCCGAGACGCACGTGGCACAAAAGGCGCTGCGATGGAGGATGTCAATGACACAAACACACACACAAAAAAAGAAGGCAGGGATAGATGGTAAGAGAATGAACGCGCTGATGGGAGAAAGCCGGGAGGGTAATAAGTGATGCGCGTGTGAAGGGCTGCATTTGGTGACTTTTCAAGTGGCCTTTGGCAAAACGGGTAATGATCGTCGTCGCTGATCTGCAAAAAAAAGTGGAAGGCGAGAAGAAAGCGACATGGGCAGAGGAGAGAAAACACAACAGATCGCAGGAGAGGAAGAGCCTAGCCATTCGTCGATATGATCCAGAGTACTACAATACAAGAATGAATCCCCGCTTCAACTTTGCCGGCACGATTCCAAAACGGCCCAACAAGATCATGCCCACTAGAGGTTCCGCAGTAGCGCAGCGGGTCACACTCTCCCGGTGCCCGGTTTGGTGACCATGATTCAACCGTTTCTGTCCTCCATTCCCAAAGCGGCCACCTTGATGTGGCAACAGCAGTGCGGTTGGACTTTCTTTCACCGATGTACCGTACCGCACCACCGCGGAACCCCTTCCGAATGAGGGAAAAACAACACCATTCCACATCCAGAACGGCGACCAAACCATTCAAAGCGCGCCCGTGGACGGTTTGCACAACCACATGGTAATCAACCTACCGGCAGGGAGTACAGCTTTTCCTTCCTGGAGGGGAAAGGTTGACCTTCGCCTTCAGGCAGAAATTGAAGAAGAAAAAAAAACGTGGACTCTATCGGCAGGAGGCGTATGTCATCCGGTTTGCATACACATTAAATACCCGTGGTACTAACCGGCAGGCGGAGAAACCTTACCGTGGAGGATACTCGTGGGATCTACCGGCATGAGGCGAAATATACCCGGTTTGCGCACATAGTTGATACCCGTGGTATTAAGCGGCAGGCGGGTAAACCTTCCCGGGAGAAATTCCGTGGAATCTACAGGCATGGCGCATAATTTCAACGGCTTGCACAAAGTAAATACCCGTGGTATCAACCGGCAGGCGAGCATACCTTTCAGCGGAGGAAAGGCTGGCCAGGACCCGAAGCAATGCCACAAGCTCTTCCTCCCCAAGGTACCTGTTTGGCAACGAAAACGAAGCGAGGAATATTATGCGTGTGTCTCAACTTTGATTCTACATAACATCAGCACTCACAGCATTTCCTCCCACCCATTCCTCCTGCGGTGCGTGCCTTCAATTCTTCAAAGGGTTTGGTCTCTGACAACCCCTTTCTTGGGACATCGTCGACTTGTGGGTAGTCCCGTCTTCGTTCTCTCCCTCCTGTCGTCGGATCATGTTCAGCACTGCAGCAACAACAGCAGCAGTGTACAGCAGCAGGGTGGGGGTAGTTGTGCAGATACGCACAGCTGCCTCGTGAGTGCCTCTCGCACCATGCAACACATCAAAATCACCGGAGCCTGTCATTAGTACGTAACGGTGTCGTCGCGGCACAGGATACCAAGGACCACCTCTGTGGCTGAAAGTGCGCCTTGCGGCGCTTCGGTGCTGCGCGAGCTCTGTCCGGCCGGTAGAAAACGGCCTGGTTTGAGATCTCCAACTCGATGCACGGTGTCGTGAGTACAGCTCCCGCCATCCAACGTAGAGAACTAAACATCATGTCGTACAACATGCACAATAAGACGTCGCATCCCGCTGTGGAACACATCTATGCCGAGCATGCACAGCAGTGTAGCATGCAGTCTGGACCATGTAGTCTACTTCATGATACCGTAGCATACCTGATGTCAACGTTGTTGTCGACTCGTTGAAGTTTGCCCGTTGGATACATCAAGTTTCCGCCTCTCTCAACGCCCCGTTTCCGCTCTCTCTCTCTCCTTGCTTGGTGTTTCCTGTGCTCGGCGTCTCCGGCATTGACACGCATCATCTTGAGAGATGGGAGAATGGTGGAGCTACTAGGGCGCTGGCGGCGAGCGTTTAGAGGCCTCCCATTGGCCCATGCGGCGGGACTGAACTGTAGCCCTCGCCCTGAGGCAAGAACGCCTTCCACTTGCGGTTCACTTTCAAGCGGAGGATCTTGGGGGACTGGGCCCCCGCCCGTGACGCTCACACAATCTCACGAGGCATTCAGCAGGAG